TGGGTAATGTGTTAGGAACGTAAGGATTCCCCATCATTTGATGGAAATGAAAATTACCAACCTACAGAGGATCATCATTAGGCTGAAAAAACAAAACAAACCCATCAGAGAGATAGCAAAAACATTAGGCGTGGCTAAAACAACTGTTTGGAACATTCCTAAAAAAGAAGGAACGCACCGGTGAGCTCAGCAACACCAAAAGACCCGGAAAACCATGGAAAACAACTGTGGTGGATGACCGACGAATTCTTTCCCTGGTGAAGAAATCACCCTTCACAACAGTTGGCCAGATCAAGAACACTCTCCAGGAGGTAGGTGTATGTGTGTCAAAGTCAACAATCAAGAGAAGACTTCACCAGAGTGAATACAGAGGGTTTACCACAAGATGTAAACCATTGGTGAGCCTCAAAAACAGGAAGGCCAGATTAGAGTTTGCAAACGACATCTAAAAAAGCCTTCACAGTTCTAGAACAACATCCTATGGACAGATGAGACCAAGATCAACTTGTACCAGAGTGATGGGAAGAGAAGAGTATGGAAAAGGAAAGGAGCTGCTCATGATCCTAAGCATACCACCTCATCAGTGAAGCATGGTGGTGGTAGTGTCATGGCATGGGCATGTATGGCTGCCAATGGAACTGGTTCTCTTGTATTTATTGATGATGTGACTGCTGACAAAAGCAGCAGGATGAATTCTGAAGTGTTTCGGGCAATATTATCTGCTCATATTCAGCCAAATGCTTCAGAACTCATTGGACGCCGCTTCACAGTGCAGATGGACAATGACCCAAAGCATACTGCAAAAGCAACCAAAGAGTTTTTTTAAGGGAAAGAAGTGGAATGTTATGCAATGGCCAAGTCAATCACCTGACCTGAATCCGATTGAGCATGCATTTCACTTGCTGAAGACAAAACTGAAGGGAAAATGCCCCAAGAACAAGCAGGAACTGAAGACAGTTGCAGTAGAGGCCTGGCAGAGCATCACCAGGGATGAGACCCAGCGTCTGGTGATGTCTATGGGTTCCAGTCTTCAGGCTGTAATTAACCGTAAAGGATTTGCAACCAAGTATTAAAATGTGAAAGTTTGATTTATGATTATTATTCTGTCCCATTACTTTTGGTCCCTTAACAAGTGGAAGGCACATATGCAAACTGTTGTAATCCCTACATCGTTCACCTGATTTGGATGTAAATACCCTCAAATTAAAGCTGACAGTCTGCAGTTAAAGCACAAGTTTGTTTCATTTCAAATCCATTGTGGTGGTGTATAGAGCCAAAAATGTTAGAATTGTGTCGATGTCCCAATATTTATGGACCTGATTGTATACAGTATATATATATATTATATATATACAGTGTGTATATATATATAAATATATATATATATAGTCCCTTATTTGTCCATTTTGTCTTTTCACTGTTGAATACTTATACGATGCATGTTAAAAAAATAAATCTAAATAAATGCAGACTTGCAATCACTGTAGTTGTCTGTACAGGGAGTTTCTTGTGGGATGTGGCTGTCAGTCTGGGTGATGTGGGATGTGTCTTTCAGCGCAGGGAAAGGACATTGTGGAACTTTTAATTCCACAGAGACAGGATTGATGCCAGCTAGACATGATGGGATTGCAGACTTTGCAGCTCTACAGAAACAGGTAATTTACCAAGTGAGAAAGCCTCTGGATATTATCAGGCAATATCATTTTCAGTGGGTGAATGTTTGCTAAAAGGTGAATGACTGTGCAACGAGTTTTCTTTATAAATAGGATCTATTGGAACTATTTTTTTAATAGCCAAGGTGAGCGAGTACTTATTTAGTTACGTTCTATGGTAACTGTGGGGAATATATATTGTTTATAACCTCTGTTTCCAGGGTTAATGTTGTTATCTTCCCTTGATGGATCAAGTTTTGGTTGTCAACCAATGTCTAATGTAAAGAAGTGATTTAGATCGTTAGCTGGAACCTTCTAATATAAGAATATAATATATCACGTACTGTAAGTGCCTTTCCCTTAAGCCTTATTGTATACAATACCTTACAGAGTCAGTAACGCTTTCTTGATTATTGCCTCTAGATGGGCCCCCCCATCTGCTATTAGGACTTGTTGCTTTGCATACTGTCCCCACCTACCTGTGTCTTTTCTAAACTTGTATTTTGAAAGTGAAACAACTTAAGGTGATAGATATGTTGTATGTTCTTTGTCTGGTATATTTTGTCTGGTATATTTTGTATTGATTCTATATTTTCCTCCATTTAAATGTTATATTAAAGCTCCTGAAAAAGTGCATAGTCACGAAACATGGTAAAGTGAATTAAACCATCCCAGGTTGTGGCAATTCCCAACCTTGCAATGTCATAATGGCTCTACACCTTATATGTTGCCATCAGTATTAGAAGTTGGGGGGCCTAGTTAACCCTTTGGAAAGGAATCCAAAGTCAATAATTATATGTCTCACTGGAGACAACCGATTTTTTAATTATGTATTTATGCCTCAAAGTTTGAATAAAAGCGTTAAATTTTAAACTAGTTTGTAGTACCGGTGCCTGAAAAGTCCAATTTCTCTTTGAAGTTGCAATTTGCTTCTTTTCAAATACGGTAAATGTTTCCCAAATATTTTTAGTGATTGTCAGATGAATTGACACTCAAAACATTCATATATATGGACACCATTTCATATTTTCTACATTTTCTTTGAAATATTAAAGATGAAACTGTATAAAGATATTAAAAAACATAAATGGATGTATTTGCTTTTTTGAAATGCTAAGCTGCTAAGGCTCATTCCCATAGGTTCAGAGAATCGTACAATGTAAATGACAAGCGCATTTCTGTGTCCACAGTGACAGGTTTCCCTAGCAGACACCTGCACAAATCAATGATAGGCTGGAGCTGTATGCTCACCAAAACACATATCCAAGCATATCCACACATATCCAAGGCTGTTCATCCATTCTTGTACTCATGTAAATGCTCTGAAGTGCAGGGCCGGGACAAGTGTGGTGGACAGCCGGGACAAGGTGTGGACAGAAGGGGTGTCTTCCCTGGGTTTTGGTGTCATGTGAGGTGAGGGGGCGGCACCAAGGAAAGTTTCTGATGCTACAAGCATATCCACACATATCCAAGGCTGTCATCCATTCTTGTACTCATGTAAATGCTCTGAAGTGCAGGGCCGGGACAAGGTGTGGACAGAAGGGGTGTCTTCCCTGGGTTTTGGTGTCATGTGAGTGAGGGGGGGGGGGGGCACCAAGGAAAGTTTCTGATGCTACAAGCATATCCACACATATCCAAGGCTGTACATCCATTCTTGTACTCATGTAAATGCTCTGAAGTGCAGGGCCGGGACAAGGTGTGGACAGAACGGGTGTCTTCCCTGGGTTTTGGTGTCATGTGAGGTGAGGGGGGGGGGGGCACCAAGGGTTTCTGGCTACAAGCACCAAGGAAAGTAAATTCTGATGCAGGGCCGGGACAAGGTGTGGACAGAAGCATGTGACAAGGAGTAGTGACAGCAACATCACAGCAACACTACTCCTGTCAGCTTAGCATGGGTAGTGGCAAGCCAAATCCCTGGAGGATGGATGGAAAACTGGGAGGAGATGTGGGCTGTGCTCTCTCCCCCCTCTAGCTTTACATTCCTGCCCTTGCAGAGCTCCTGGTCTGGAACTGTCAGACTTATGTTCTAAGACAGGGGTGTCAAACTGGCAGCCCTCCAGCTGTTGCCATACTACAAGTCCCATGAGGCACTGCACGATTGACAATTACAAGCATGACTCCCAAGGGCAGAGGCATGATGGGACTTGTAGTTTCACAACAACATTTTGACACCCCTGTTCTAGGAGGTGGGATTTCAGTATTGGCTTCCTTTTGATTCATCATATGAGATCATCAGGGTATTTCTACAGTCTCTGCCTTCTTGCTCTCATTAACATACAGAGAGCCTGATGTAAAAAATGTCAGTGCCTTAGGAATCCTCATAGCAATTAATAAGATTGAAGTAAAGATCCAGTGCACCTGTGAGGTGCTGTTCGAATTCTGTGGTGGATTATAGACCATTCAGGTTAAGGCATGCCAACTAAATGTACTGTTTACCTGTAGAGTACCATATTTTAAGCATGTGCACTACTTCCCGCAGTATGCACTGGTCCGTACTAACTATACGGAAGTCCCAGCAAAGCCATGGACCCTGACAGTGGCAAAGTGCCCTGTCAGAATAGTGTTTCTAAATATGTGAATGTTTCAATGTTGAGCAATCAGCCAACTTAATATGTTATAACATGGTCCTCTGCAGCTGTGCTTCAGTAAAACTCTGTGGAACGATTCTAATGCATTACCCTCGCAGATAACTCAAATTGATTGTGAAGCAGGTTCCTGGAAACCCTAATATGTTGTTCTGTGGGAGCAGTGTGTAGGGAAATCTAGGTAAGTTATCATGTAAATGATATCAAGAGCCACACCTGATTGTACTGCTCTGCTAAATGGATGATGACAGGGACATTTCTTTGTGGGGGTATATCCCAGTTAAAGTTATGATGGTTTGTCGAATCTCTCTAACAGTCAGTATTGCAAAATGCAGTGCCTTAATACATTAAAGGTAAATAATTACTCTCAAATAAAAGGTTCATCAATATAGAGAAAGTAGGAAAAAAAGTCCTGATTCCAATCTTGCTGTCCCAGTGTGACTTTCACCATCCAGAGAGGAAAAAGACTACCAGTTGTGAAAAAATTCCTCTCTCACAAACTCCAAAAGCTGACAATGCAGCAAATAGTGCATTTTAACTACCTCCCACCCGCCATATAAGGAAATGACGTATTGGTAGCGGTTCTCTCATTCTGGGAGGATGACATATGATGTCCTCCCACTCTAACTGCGCATGCTCGCCCCCCGTGGGCTTGCAGAATGCGATCGGTGGCGTGCTGTGTCTCTCACCCAGTACAAATGACATCGACTCTCTCATGTGATAAGCTGTGTCCAATCAGAGTTGATCACATGTAAACAAAGAAATGTCGGTTATCGGCAGTCCTTTCCTCACGCTGACAGTGCATGAGGAGAGGAGAGCCGGTAATCGGCATTCCTCAGACGGTACATCTACATTGATCATCAGGGCACTGATGATCAGTGTAGCCCCATCAGTTCCACCTGTCAGTGCTCATCAATGCCATCTGTCAGTGTCCATCATACCAGTGCCCATCAGTGCACATCAAGGCCACATATCAGTACCTACCAGTGTACATCAATGCCACATATCAGTGCCCATCAGAGCTGCCTTTCAGTGCCAACTATCAGTGCCTGTCAGTACCGCCTAACAGTTCCAATCAGTGCCGCCTAAAGTTCCAATCAGTGCCAGTCAGTGCTGCCTATCAGTGCCACCTATCAGTGCCCATACGTGCCTCCTATCAGTGCCATATATGAGTGCTGCCTTTCAGTGCTCATCAGTGATACCTGTCAATGCCGACAAGTGATGCCTGTCAATGCCCATCGGTGCCACCTACCAGTGCCTCCTCATCAGTGCTGCCTATCAGTTCCCATCAGTGCAGTCTTATTAGTGCACATCAGTGAAGGAGAAAAATTACTTACTTACAACATTTTATAACAGAAACTAAGAAAAAACTTTTTTTTTTCAAACTTTTTTGTCTTTTTTAGTTCGTTTAGCAAAAAAATGAAAAACCCAGTGGTGATTAAATACCACCAAAAGAAAGCTATCTGTCTAAAAAAAATGGTAAAAATTTTGTTTGGGTACAGTGTTGCATGACTGCGCAATTGTCATTTAAAGTGCCACAGTGCTGAAAGATGGAAATTGGCCTGGGGAGAAAGGGAGTAAAAGTGCCCGGTAGGCAAGGGGTTAAGCAACACAGATCAGCATCCCTCTATGGTCATCCAGCTCCATCCATCCACCCTTTGTCTTCTCTGCACCACTAGGAGGAGCAGGAAGACCACCATGCCACTGTATAGGGAGAGAGTGATGACTGCATGAAGCCATACACCAGAAGGGGCAAGATATAGGAGTTGATTTACTAAAGGCAAATAGACTGTGCACTTTAAAAAGTGCAATTGCGCTGTGCAGTTGCTCCAGAGCTTAGTAAATGAGGTAAAGCTTCCCTTTGCCAAGAGTACCCAATCACATGCAAGGCAAATATAAAAGAAACAGCATTTTTGCTTGCACATGATTGGATGATGGAAGTCAGCAGACCTTCTGCTCATTTACCAAGCTCTGGAGCAAATGCACTTGCACAGTGCAATGGCACTTTACAAAGTGCACAGTTTAATTGCCTTTAGTAAATCAACCCCATAGTGTGGTATTTTATTGTGACAGCTTCAGGCAAGCAAAAAATCCATAAAAACATATCGTAGATGCTGGTAACATAACAACAGCAATAGTGCACTTACTAAGATAGCCGCCAGGTCAAAAGCCGGAAGTGGCAGTGTGTCATCAGCGTATAACTCCACCATGGATGGATGGATGGAGCTGGATGACCATAGAGGGATGCTGATTTGTGTTGCTTAAAACTCGTTGTTTGCTGCATTGTCAGCTTTTAGAGTTGGTGAGTGCGATATTTTTTTCATTCAAGTAGTGGTCTTTTTCCTCTCTGGATGGTGAAAGTCACACTGGGACAGAAAGATTGTAATCAGGACTGTTTTCCTACTTTCTCTATATTGATGAACTTTGTATTTGAGAGTAATGGTTTACCTTTAATGTATTAAGGCTCTGCATTTTGCTATATTGACTATTTGAAGGGTTTTTGCATATTTACCCTTTTGCTAGCTGCCTTAGATTCGTGGTTTGTTATATATTTTTTTCATCTCTCTAACAGTCACTTTTGGTCTGCTTAAGCCTTCGTTCACACTGATGTGGTGCGGAATTCGCAGCGTTTTCAGTGCGACTTGCGCACCGCATCACAATCGCATCCCGTTCACACGGACCGCTGCGGGTGTGTATGTTAACGACACCCCCACATCGGTCAGCAAACGTGGTGTGATATGCAGAATCAGACCGCATAGGTATGAATACCCATGCGAGTCGATTCTAGTGCCGACCAAAAAATGGTCCTGCACCTTTTTGGTGCAGGTGTGGTGCGAATAGAGCCAAACAAAATGTTTGGCTCTAATCACGTGCAAGGGAAATAAAAAAAAAATAGCATTTTTTCTTGCACATGATTGGATGATGGAAGTCAGCAGAGCTTCTGCTCATTTACCAAGCTCTGCAGCAACTGCACTTGCAGAGCACAATGGCACTTTGCAAAGTGCACAGTCTAATTGCCTTTAGTAAATCAACCCCAAAGTGTGGTATTTTATTGTGACAACTTCAGGCAAGCAAAAAATCCATAAAACATATCGTAGAAGCTTGTAACATAAAAACAGCAATAGTGCACTTACTTAGATATCCGCTCTAATCGCACCGCATACAAATCACATGTGATTTGTACAAGAATGCGGTGCGGTTCCTCTACGAATCACATGGGATTTCTGCAACCGCTGTAGTGTGATCCTAGGCTAAAGGAAATTGAAAAATAACAGCCCTACTGGTAGAATTATCAGGTGAAAATAAAGGGGACAATGTAAAAAAAAATGCAATCACAACATTTAAAAATGTTTAAGCTACAGTATATTACATGTCTATTTTGGGGTTTATTACCACTTTGACTGTATTATAGAAAAGTGATGTCACCAAGCCGACTACACTATTTAGAAGAACTGTGTAAATCTCTGGTCTAGCCTTTAAAAAAAAATACATCTTTTGGCAGGTAAAACAGCTTCTATATATGTATGTTAGCTATGTGTTCAGCTGTTTGCCTTGAAAAGCTGCATTACCTTTTAAATGTCATGTCCATGAGAGTTTGGGTCACACTCAGGCTATTTGTTTTTCCTACAGAGTTCTGCATAACCCCAGGCTGTATCTGGATATATACATTTATTTGGAATGTTCCTATCCATGTGTGGTTTTTCTATTTCCACCTTAGCCTTATAAAAATTATTTGTGTCAGAGATGCCAGGATAGGAGCTGTGACAAGCCTATGTTCCTGCAACATAATGAGAAATGTGTGTTGTGACAGATGAAGCACAGGCTAACCTTTACAAGTGTTAACAAGCTACACTTACATTTACCAATATTCACGGTAGAGATGAAATCGTAGAAGACCTGTCACCTGCGCGTCAAACACTTCCAAGCATGTCATAGCAAGAAGGAGTATCAAACTTTCTGCTGGCCCTTTATTAAGTCGCTCTGTTTTTTTTTTTTTTCATTTTATGTATTTATGTGGGCTGAATAATACATGCAAGAATTCTTCTGCGTGTGCAATATTGTTTCGCCTATAATGCTATTCATTAATCTATACGGCACAAACACAGTGAACAGGTCGATGTGGTTAAAGGATAATTAGCAATTGATCAGCACCTGTGAAGTCAAATGAAAAGTCACATTTCTTCTTCCAAATGGCTTGAGTTGTTGGTCTGCTCTACGACAAGAAGCTTTTTTCTAAGTTTGATCTCATTCTAAAACACTGTATCAGATCAGCACAGTGTAATTGCCTTCTGTCGCCACATTAACTATGTATGTGCCCTATGATTTGTTTTTCTTTGCTTATTCCCCTGCAGCCTAAATTGGTTATGTTGAAATTTTATACCAAACTAGACTGAAAATTATAATATGGTGATGCCTCATTATGACTACAAACAGTGCCTAGTAAAAGTTATTCCCAATGAATGGGCTTATATATTAATATGCCTTAAAGCTGAATATAAACCAGTCTGCTAAATATTTGAAAAATGATAAATGATATAATTTATATTTACTCTTTTTCAGCTTCCGTTTATATATATATATTGCTCCTAAGGGGGGCATTTTCTTGTTTGGAGACAAGATAAATCCAGTCCATGTTACTTATGTTTATTATGTATAATTACAAGTTGTATATTGGCATTACCTTTTCCAAATCTTAAAATTTGGTGACTTCTCATTTGCTCATATTGCATGTAATTATTATTTGTGGGGTCCTTCAGTTTTGTATATAAAGCAATACCTGGGAATACCTGGCACCTCTATGTGAACATACAAAAAAGGGTTTATAATTTTATTCAGTCATGTGTTACAGACACATTTGCCAGAAAACCAGGTCCAGGACCTTCCTGCAGTGGTGCATTTAAGCAACATAAATAAATGAATTCATTTGCGCCCATTTCTTAGCTTTTATCAATTGATTCCAATGAGCAAAATCTTATATACTGAAAAAGATAAATTATAGGGTAAATTCTAGAATGAAATATAGAAAATCATCATGAAAGCACACCGCTCAAGCCATTGTGAATGATGACATCACAACCACACCCCATTCCGAAGCATTTCATCACACTGGACGTCCTCAGGGGACTCTGGTTGATGATGCCAGGTATTGCTTTATATATAAAACTGAAGATATGAAGAGAGCAAGACTCCACACAAATAATAATTACATGCAATATGAGCAAATGAGTATTCACCAAAGTTTAAAATTTGGAATAGGTAAGGCCAATATACAACTTGTAGTTATACATAATAAACATAAGTAAAATGGACCGGCTCTTGTCACCAAAAAAAAAAAAAATGCCCCCCTTAGGGGCAACATATACAATATAAATGAAAGCCAAAAAAGAGTAAATATAAATTATATCATTTACTATAAATGATATCATTAGCCAACCATGCTGTTTTTATCAAAGTTGTTTTGTGAGTACACGCTTTGCTTCTAAATAAACTGACCATTTTTTTTCTGTACTACAATATCCAGTATATTTACTACTTCTCACTGGACCATCTGTGAACTATTGAGTTCATGGAGGATCTTTCTAAAAGTACTCCAAAAGGGCCAAGTGACACTTATGTGGCATTACCTCTTTTTTTCTGCCAAAATGCTGAAGATTTCATGTATGGGAGGTAATGTTGATTCAGTGTGCAATTGGATGGTTGAACACACATCTAGATACAGCCTTTGGTGTGTAGTGTTAATACAGCGTTTTCACAAGATATGTGGACGTTTTATGATTATCACACCATTGTAATGATTGCATTTTTCTTAATTATGTGTATGTTTTTACATAGTTACATAGTTAGTCTGGCTGAAAAAAGACAAAAGTCCATCCAGTTCAACCACAAAAAAAAAAGTTATAATCCTATACCCACAGTTGATCCAGAGGAAGGCAAAAAAAACCCCAGCAAAGCATGACCTAATTTGCTCCTGCAGGGAAAAAATTCCTTTCTGATCCCCGAGAGGCAATTGGATATTCCCTGGATCAACTTTACCTATAAATGTTAGTATCTAGTTATATTCTGTATATCTAAGAAAGAATACAGGCCTTTTTTAAAGCAATCCACTGAGCTGGCCAGAACCAACTCTTGAG